GGCCCCATGCTCTCTGCCTAGACCCTACCTGGACTTCTTACAAGTTCCCTCAAGCTATACCTTCCTTGTAGCTCCTCCAGAATCTGTTAGTAATAAACGTCTCCATTTCACTTTCTCTTGCAGTCTTTTGTGGAGTTGTTGCCTAACTTTCAACACTCAGGGGTCAACTTTACAAAAGGTAATTTAACAAAGTCACAGTGATGGCATTCAACAATTCTATCAAGTTTATAAAGAATTACCAGTAATTCCATATGATTTCTTTTTAAATTTTTAAACTTTTATTGGAGTATAGTTGATTTACAATGTTGTTTCAGGTGTACAGCAAAGTGAATCAGTTATACATATATCCACTCTTTTTTTTGTTTTGTTTTTTCAGATTCTTTTCCCATACAGGCCATCAGAGTATGGAGTAGAGTTCCCTGTGCTATACAGCAGGCTATAAAATTTCTTTTTAAGACAAGAAAAGGAGGGAGTACTTGTCAACTCAATTTATAAGGCCAGTATTACTAGGATAAAAAACTAGACAAAGTTAATAGAAAAAAAAGAGAAAGTAAACAAAATGACCAACTAAATCCCACATGAAGATTCAAAAATTCATCATAGGGCTTCCCTGGTGGCGCAGTGGTTGAGAGTCCGCCTGCCGATGCAGGGGACACGGGTTCGTGCCCTGGTCCGGTAAGATCCGACGTGCCACGGAGCGGCTAGGCCTGTGAGCCATGGCCGCTGAGCCTGCACATCCGGAGCCTATGCTCCACAAGGGGAGAGGCCACAACAGTGAGAGGCCCGCGTACCGCCAAAAAAAAAAAAAATCATAAAATATTACTAACAGAAATCAATCACAGACAGAAAGAATTCATATTAAAGATAATATAAATCAGGGAATTCCTTGGCAGTCCAGTGGTTAGGACTCGTCACTTTTGCTGCCGGGGCCCGGGTTCAATCCCTGGCTGGGGAACTAAGATCCCGCAAGCCACATGGTACAGCCCAAATAAATAAATAAATACATAAATAATAATAATCATCAAGATCACTTATCAAAGAAAAATACATTATTCTTGGTCGGGAACAAATTCTATGTGGAGGATACTGGGTGTCAGTTGACATACTAAAAGTAGCACAAATGTTATTTTCTCTGCAAGAACTTCTGGTTCTGAATGTGAACATATCAGTAGGAAAGGGCAGCACAGCTTCCAGACACTTGGGAATGGAGATTCTCTCCCTGTCACACACTATAATTGGAATTCTGCAGTCTATCTCATTCATCCTTATAATTTCTTTCACTTCACTGCATGTTTGTTCAATTCCACACACTTGATTTTCAAGCACCTGACCATAGCCAACTCCCACAAGAGAGATTTCATGTCACTATTCTGCCATTCCAGTTTGTTCACTGAACTAAAGCCCTAAAGTAACAGTTTTTCTTCATATTTATAATGCACCTACTTTGTACCTGGCATTGCCTTATGGACATTATCATGTCACAGAAGTCCCAAAACAACCCACTGATTTACAATATCCCATGCTATAAAACAGGAGAAATATATGTGACAGAAAAAATTATCGCTAAGGAAACAATTCAAAACATTTTTTATTACAGTAGAAAACAACGTAACACATTGTGTACCAGCATAATTTGAAACTCAAATTTTAATAGCATTTAGAAAATAGCTCTTTGAGTAAACTGCTTATAGTATCTAATAAACATTTCCAAACATTAATTTTATTAAACTAAGGTAAAAATATCTCTGACAAGTTATCCAAATAGGATTTTACGAGCATTTTCAAGAACCATATTGAACAATGGAATGTATGTGTGCTGCAGAAAAAGAAATGCAAGAAATTATTAGCATGAAGAAAAGTATGGTTTGCCAAATCAAGAACTCAGGAATTTCAAGAGTAAGCATTCAGTGTTTGTTTTCTTTTCTTTTTGGGTAAAGTAGAGAAGAACAGCTTTATTGCTCTGCCAGGCAAAGGGGCCACAGCAGGCTCATGCCCTCAAAACTGTGTTTCCACACCTGGAGGGGGTAGTGAGTTTTATAGTAATGGTTCAGAAAGGGCGTGATCAGCTCGTGGACATTCTTTTGATTGGCTGGTGGTGAGATAAGTGGGAGTCAACATCCTCAACCTTCTCCTTCCCACCAGTCTGGGGTGTACATGCTTGTGGGTAGCACACGGTTAATTTCTCCCACCTGGTGGGGGTTTCAGTATCTGGTCTCTGGACTCACTGAGCCTCAGGTTCTTTGTGTCTCAGCGCAGAAGGAATTCAGCGAGAGGTAAAGTGACAGGCAAGAAGTAGACTTATTAATATAGGACACCTGTGAGGGATACAAGTGGGTAGGCGAGGGGGCTCTGCCTCAGTGTTTTATTAAAGAGCCTGACTCCATTTTTTCTTTTCTTTTCTTTTCTTTGGCTGCACCACGTGGCTTGTGGGATCTTAGTTCTCCGACCACGGACTGAACCCAGGCCCCCGGCAGTGAGAGCTCGGAGTTCTAACCAGCGGACTGCCAGGGAATTCCCCTGACTCCATTTTTTTGATGTTTGACTATTGACACCTCTTAATCCTCAGGAAAACCTCTTCTTATTCAGCCTATCTGGATAAAATGATAAAAAAGCCTAAGGGCTCCTTCCTTTGAGAGAAACTGGACATTGAAACCGTAAGCTTATCCTCCACCAAGCCTCACCCAGTAATTAAATTTTCCTCTAATGTTAACTGCTCTCCCTTCAATTCCCAAGAATGAGTCTCATTTCTCATTAAAGGTAGATGCAAACATCACCAATTCACATGCAGTGGAGGAAGTGACCAACTTCTCCGACACATCGTTCCTACCACATAATCAGTCCCTAGCAACCTGTCACTGTCCTCTCATGGCAAGTCCAGTCCCTTAATGTCCTTACTGCTCTGTTCATGGTCATCTGGTAGAGCATTCTGTCCTATAATGCACAGTGGCCTATCCATGGACCCTGAACATAACAAGCATGATGAGTCAAGGCAGTTTTATATTATTCTCTGATCCTCCCTGTTGCTAATTCACAACTATTGAATTTGGTAATTCAGGGTCCTTGTTTTTCCAGGGAACATGGATGTGAATGAACCACACCTAATGAAGTTGGCCCCCTTATGTTACTGATTCCTTCCCAGAGACAATCATCAAAGGCCTGTAATGAAGGCATAAGATCAACAGACTTCAAACTTCAGGCTGAAAGCCATAAATAGTAATGTGGCTTTTTCAATAAAATTCAATTAATAGAATACTTACAGTGAAGATAATTGGCCATTCACACGTTATTCTTCCTGTCACATACATACCATTTCATAATTTTTAACATACTGTGACTTGTAATGATTCTAAGGTACATAACAATCTCACACTAATCCTGGAGAAACACTTATTCCTAGTATAGATTCTCTGATATGTAGGCTGATTTAAGAATGGCACAAAAAATTGACCTAACTCATTACATTTGTAAGGATTATCCCTCATATGAGATCTGTGGTGAAACCTCAGGACGCATCGCTTCATCAAATTCTTTCCATGTTCAGTAAATCTCTATAGTTTCCGACCTGTATGAATTTTATCATTACACTAAAGGTGTAGATACCTGATGAAAACTTTTACAACATTCATTACATTTGAAACGTTGCTCTCCAAACTAAATCCTCTGTTTCAGAAACTTCATCTTTAGGTACAAGCCTTAGCACACATATTAGTTCGTGTGGTTCCTCTCAAAGATAAATATTGAGAAGTCTGGTGAATTGTGCAGCCAGGATAAAGCCTCTGCTCATACATTTGTAGTGTTTCTCTTCAATGGACTCCGCACTGTTGCCAAATACTTGAACTCAAGGTAAAGGTTTTGCCACACTAGTTGCATTAGTAAGGGATAGTTCCAGTACCTTCCCAACTTGTGATTTTTGCGTAAAATCCTTACCACACACATAATTATCTCAGTGGTTTCTCTCCAGGATAAATATTCCAATATCTAGTGACAAGTGAGCACTAACTTGAAACTTTGCCACATTCGGTACATCTGTAATGTTCCGTCCAGTATGGATTATCTGATGATTGGCGGGATGTGAGCCCTGAGTAAAGGTTTTGCCCATTCATGGTATTTGTGAGGTAATCTCCAGAATGAATTCTTTGGTGAATGACTTCCTTGTCTAAGGACTGGTCATACTAAACACACCTACCCGATGAAGCCTAAGACGTGAACAGTGAAGCCTAAGATGTGGACAGCCGCTAAACCCTTGTTTAATGTTCGTCATCAGTGTGGATTACCTGACAGTAAGATAAGCTTCTAAGTACACTGACGGATTTTTCACACTCATCACATTTGTCAGGCAGCTTTCCACTATGAAACTTCGGTGCACCTTAAGGTATGAATTTTGACTGAAGACTTCGAGAAATTCAATACATTTCTAGAGTTTCTGTCCAGCATAGATTATGTGATGGTGAGGCTTTGCCACACTCATGACATGTGCATAGTTCCTCTCCACTATGACTCTCCCATGAATTTAAAGTGTCAATTTTGTTTTGTTTTGTTTTAAGGATTTTTTAAATATTTATTTATTTATGGCTGCATTGGGTCTTCACTGCCACACGCAGGCTTTTCTCTAGCTGCGAGCGGGGGCTACTGTTCGTTGTGGTGCGCAGGCTTCTCACTGCGGTGGCTTGTCTTGTTGTGGAGCATGGGCTCTAGGCACACAGGCTTTAGTAGCTGTGGCATGCGGGCTCAGTAGTTGTGGCTCACGGGCTCTAGAGTGCAGGCTCAGTTGTCGTGGCGCACGGGCTTAGTTGCTCCACAGCATGTAGGATCTTCCCAGAGCAGGGATTGAACCTGTGTCTCCTGCATTGGCAGGCGGATTTTTAAACACTGTGCCACCAGGGAAGCCCCAAGTGTCAATTTTGAGTGAAGACCTTCCCACATATATCACGTTAATATGATTCCCCCTTTGTATTTATTACCTGATATGTAGTGAGAGTTGAGATCTAAGTAAAGGTTTTTCAACAGTCTTTATCTTTGTAAGGTTTCGCTTTTGTATGAACACTCTGATGCTTCGCAAGGTATGCTTTTCGACTAAAGCAGCTGCCACACTCGTTACACTTGTAAGGTTTCTCTCCAGTATGAATTCTCTGATGAATTACGAGATTTGAATTCCGATTGAAGACCTTGCCACACTCACTACATTTGTAAGGTTTCTCTCCAGTATGAACTCTCCGGTGAATTGCAAGGTATGAATTATAACTAAAGACTCTGCCACATATATCACATTTACATAATTTCTGTCCTGTATGGATTATCTGATGTCTCCTGAGGTTTGAGCTGTGATTAAAGATTTTGCCACAGTCTTTACATTGGTAAGGTTTCTCCCCAGTATGAATTCTCCGATGAACTGCAAGGTATGAATTTTGACCGAATAATTTGCCACATACATCACATTTATATGGCTTATCTCCTGAATGGATGATTTGATGTTGTATGAGGTGTGAGCCAAAATAAAAGGTTTTGCCACACTCATTACATTTGTAGTGTTTCTCTCCAGTATGAATTATCTGATGACTGACAAGGGTTGATCTAATACTAAATACCTTACCACACTCATTACATTTGTAAGGTTTCTCTCCAGTATGAATTCTCTGATGACTTGCAAGGTTTCCTTTTTGACTAAAAGCCTTGCCGCACTCATTACATTTGTAAGGTTTCTCTCCAGTGTGAATTCTGCGATGTTTTGCAAGGTATGAATTCTGACTAAAGACCTTGCCACATTCATTACATTTGTATGGTTTCTCTCCAGTATGAATTCTCTGATGAACTGCAAGGTATGAACTTTGACTAAACACTTTTTCACATACATCACATTTATATAAGTTCTCTTTTGTATGGATTATCTGATGTCCAGTGAGGTGCAAGCCATGACTAAGGGTTTTGCCACACTCGTTATATTTGTAAGATTTCTCTTCAGTATGAATTGTTCGATGAATTGCACGGTCTGAATTTCGACTAAAGACTTTGCAACATACATCACAATTAAATATTTTCTCTTTTGTATGGATCAACTGATGCTGAGTGAGATTTAAGCCCCGATGAAAGGTTTTGCCACACTGATTACATTTGTAAGGGCTTTCCATGCATGCACTCTGGTCTTGTGTCAGTATTGAAGGATGTATAAAATCATTCTCATATGAATTAGGAATGGTGGTTTGGACAGTAGGAGAAGTTCCTTGAAGTGGTGAAAATGAGGCACTAATGCTGATACTCTTGTCAGCTTGATTAAATTCATCAATTTTCTCTTCACTTTTGAAAATATGCAGTTCATCCTGAAAGCTTAATGCCAGCCTGTTTTCAATAGGCTTGATTCCTGCAACACTTCTACCACGTCGATCTCTCTTATCAGTCAGCTTTTTGTTATGGTTTATAGGCATTCCTTTATAATTTCTTTCCTCATCTCTTGGCTGAGACTCAAAGTCATGTATATTTTCCTGGATTTCCCTGAGGTAAAAATGCTTGATTTTATTCCTTTCATGTCTTCCCAATATCAGTGTTTGGAATACTTCTGCTCTATCAGTGTTTGCATTTAGTTGTAATTTCTTGATCATGTGTACGTGAGAGACATCTACAAGATATAAAGAACCATAAGTATCCTGTTCATCCCAATTCATAAGTAAATAGTTCATGTTAAATACATGATATTACACCAAAATTAGTACTTACACAAAACAGAGTTATGAAAATTCCCAACCATGATATTAAAACCTTTACAAACACAAAAGGAATGATTCTTTACTAAAGATAAAGTGATAGAGGTAATTCCACTTAAATTTTGGGTACCCAATTTTCAAACAACCTATGATAAAAACACTCACATTGGGAAAACTTCTGTTAGCTATCAAAGAAAGTGTATTTTTCAACCATGACACCAAAGCACATACCAATTAGCAGTAAACATACTGGTGCCTCGTAACTGAGGAGAAAAGAATATTATACTATACATATATTGTGCATACTTGTTAAATAGTAATGAATGCTAAAAAAACAGACAGTAAATAATTGTAACAGTAAATAATCCAAAACTAACTTATTCAATGAATAATCTCAAGGAGTGGTGGTCTCCAATTGGGAAACAAATATAGCATAGAGAAAATGGTGAATATGATAAAACAGTATTTTAAAAAACAAAATGTTCTTCTAAAAACGAGCTGTAAATCTATGTACCCAGGAAGAAGCATAAAACATTCTGGAAGACCACCTTCTGTATATCACAATTAAATATCAATAAATGAAATATTCTCCAGTTATATTAACAGCCATTAAATAGAACAACTCCCTACCTGTTCAGTGCCCTAAAATATCCAGTTCATTGGCTCCAAAATATATGTAATGAAGAGAGAGCAATTTTTGAATTTATTTAACTAGGTTCATAAAACAAATGGCAAAAGAAAGGCATACAATATATAAGGCAAAAAAAGGGACATCATAATAAACATGCCAGAATATTAATATATCTTTTTTATACAAAAGACACTTTTGATTCATTAATATAAAAAAATGCATTATTTCTGGGAATTCCCTGGCAGTCCAGTGGTTAGAATTCAGCACTTTCATTGCCACGGGCCCGGGTTCCATTCCTGGTTGAGAAAGTAAGGTCCCGCAAGCAGCATGGTGTGGCCAAAAACACAAACAAACACCCCCCCCCAAAAAAAAACGCCACTATTTCAAGCTGTCTAACATTACTAGTTTCTTTCGAAAGGCTTGAGGAAAGTTATCAGAAGTTTTTAAGTAAGGAAAGTGGAATCAGGTTTCTGTGCATGACCCCAATTGACGCAGAAAGCAGTGAGAACCATGATGTGGACCTTGACCTACAGACTGAGACAACATACTCTTAAGCGTGACCACCCGCCCAACAGCAGCGGAGGATAGATGACAAAAACGACAATAAATATCAGGAGTTGAGAGAGAAAACTTCAAGGGAGATGCAAGAAGTGAGCTGGATAACTACGAAGGGTATTCAGCCACCCCTCCTGGAAATGGTTTCTGGGTCATCACAGCTACACAGAAAATGATTTAGGTTGTGTCATGAGACAGTTGTTCAATATATAAAGAGGCATTATTTTTACAGTGTGAGTGATGTGGAAGGTGGAGGGATGGGTGAAGGAGTGCTGTAGAAATTGGGAAGTTCAGGAGAATAACTTAAATGTGCTAGGAAATAATCTTTCCATCCACATCAAGGTACCATGTAAGGAAAGGTCAGGACTGAGAAAGGGCCTGAGTGGAGCACAGAGTTTTTTAACTATGGGAATTATACTATGAGTATGGGAAGAACTGAAAGAGATTTAAACACTGTAGAAAGAAATTAACTTTAAATCTGTTACACTATTTGCTACGCAAGGTATCAAATTCCAACAGCTGTATTTCCATGCACATATTCAATAAAAACATACACAACATTCAAGGAGACGGTGCAATAATGTTCTTAGCAGAAAGCAGAAGAAAAAACCAGAAGAACACCAGCAGAAGGAGACAGATCGGTCTATTCTGTACACACACATGCAGAACAAAGTAATCAGATCAACATTACTGTAAAGTAGGGAGATCCTGATTTCAGAATGAAGATCTCCTGGCTGGGTGAGCAGGGTTTGTATGGGGAAACAAAGAAAGCAGAAAGCGTTTGAGAAAGCCTGAGCAATTTCAGGATAGGATCACAATAGTTAAGTAAGCAAAGAAAGAGAAAAGTGTTACTAACTAAAATATAGATTACATAACATAATTTGGAATATAAAATGTTTATGTTAACACTCCTTGTTATTAAACATGACAGTGTTCTTTTAGCTGGCCTCTCTAAATACTGAAAATCATATCATTAAATTTCTTAACACAAACTCTGCAAAGAAAAACAAACCCATGAGGAGTGATGTCAACAGAACAGTAAACCACAGGCACTCATTAGAGCCATGAGGAAGCCAAGTTAAAAACAATAAACAAAAAAAAAGAATTTGGGAAAACTCTACAAACCAGTAAAAAAAAAAAGTGGCAGCACCCAGGCAATTGCCTATCCTGAAAACACTAAACCAAAAAAATGTAGGAAAGTTCATGACAATTTCCTGGCCTGTGACTCCCCACCTCCTTCTTACATTGCATTGAGATTGAACTGGAAGGAGCCTCCCAATTACCAGAGGTGTCCTCATGGGGAAATGATAAAAACATGATAAAAACACTCAGTAAACCAGAAATAGAAAAAAATGACCTCAACATAGTAAAGGACATGTATTAAAAGTCCACAGCTAACATCATACTCAATGGGGAATGACTTAAAGCTTTTCCTCTGAGATCAAGAAAAAGACAAGGACACTTGCACTCAGTATTTCTAAAAAAAAATTACTGGAATTCCTAGCAAGTACACGTAGGTAACAGAAAAAGACATAAAAACAATTCCAATAGCAAAAAGAAGTAAAACTCTCTCTTTTGACAAATGAAATGATCTAATAAGTAAAAAACCCTGGGGAATTCCCTGGTGGTCCAGTGGTTAGGACTCCATGCTTCCTCTGCTGGGGGCCTCGGTTTGATCCCTGGTGTGGGAACTAAGATCCTACAAGCCGTGCAGCATGGCAAAAAAATTAAAAATAAAAATAAATAAATAAAAACCTGTGAAGATTCTTAAACAAAAATTTGATAGAAATAATGAACTCAGAAAGATGACAATATATAAAATTGACAAACAAAAATCAATACTGTTTCTATACAGTGACAATAAAAAATCAAGAAGGAAATTCAGAAAACAATTCCATTTACAATTACCATCAGAAAAATAAAGTACTTGGCAAAACTTTACAGAAGGGAAAGATATATGCACTATAAACTAAAAACACAGCTGAAAAATATTTGAAAAGAAACAAATTAATGCAAAGATATACCAAGTTCATGGATTAGAAGTAAATATTGTCAGTATGTAAATACTACCCTAAGTGATCAACAGATTCAACACAATCCCTAATAAAATCCCAATAGTGTGTCTCGAAGAAACAGATAAATCCATCCTAAGATTCAAATGCAATCTCAAAAGACACTCAATAGCAAAACCAAGGTTGAAAAGAATGAAGTTGGAGGTTTCACAATCATTTCAAAATTCTTAGAAACCTAAACTAACCAAAGCAGTATGGTCCTAGCATAAAGACAGAGAGAGACCAGTGGCATACAAGAGAGACATGAGAGAGAAACTCTTGTGTATGTGGTCAAGTGATGTTCCACAGGAGTATCAGGACCACTCAGTGGGGGAAGGGCAGTCTACTAAACAAAGCAAATTATGGTTCAGATTGAAGGTATCACTGCACTTTATAAGATCTCTAATTTAGATGTTTCAAAATTAGCTGTTGATGTAGAAAGAACAATAGCACACAGGTGACCCCAAAATGGTGTCAACAACAGTTTACACAACAGCCTCACAAATATGCGGATGTGAACTTGGGCAATGTTATCCTGAGGAGAAATTCCTGTTCACCGTTTACTGAGGGTGAAAGGGGATGGGCATAGTACATGTGAACACCACTATGACAGTGCCCTTGAGACAGGCTTTTGTGACATTGCCCAAAACCAGAAAAAAACCTGGAAAGATTTATCAGCCAGGCTCTGGTGATATTTTCTATTTCATACCATAGAATATGCAAACCACTTCACTATAGCTTTAAGTGGTGATTTTCTATATAGCAGGAAAATATTACAATATATGAAGGATGGTATTCTCATTCGAAATTATCTGTCACCCAGTAAACCCACCCTATAGAGAGTCCACCAGAAGTTGTTGATTAACGAAGAGTGGATTATCACACCAAAGATTCTGGATAAATTTCAGAGCCTAGTTCTCTGTATTTCATAAACAAGTTTCAGAGGCAAAATCACACAAACTTAGGAGAGTATGAAATCAGGAAGAGAACACATTCCCAGACTAGGTAGAGCAGTACATGAGTGAAAAAAATATGAGATATGTGTGTCAGATATCATAGAACCTTCAGATGGAACAATGTGCTCTAGCCACAGATGCCAAACTAAGAGCCTGAAAGATACATATATGCTCCTCAGTAGGACTGGGGATCAAAGAGATGATCTCTCTGTCCGCTGTCCTTAGTTTTCCTAAGTAATAATTACAGAAGATAGAATGCACCTCCCTGTTACACACAAGCCTGAAGAATGGGGCCAAAGCAGAACAGAAGAAATGCAGGAGGGATCTAAACAGGGAGACAGGGCTTGAGACAGCTCCATGCAGGTTCTGAAATGCCACATGGAATCAAAGAGCAGCCAGTGTCTCCCATCTTCTGATGAGGTCTCCTAAAAACATCAAATAGGGATGGAACCGGGAAAGGTTCAGGAATTGGGAGTCTGGAGGCATCAGCTCTTATCTATGTGGACTGAAAACTGAGCATCCAATGGAATGAAGGCGAGAAGGAGAGATGAGGGGGCAAGAGGCCCCTTTGAAAAAGTCCACCTCATGCTCTGCTAATTCAAGCAACAAGAGCTCACAGAAACCAGATGGCAGAGTGTTGCAGATCATGGTAAAGACCTTGCCTTTGTCTCTGGTGGAGCTGCAGCACCACTGGAGGGTGAAAGAATACATTTTACATGTGGAAGGACAAGAGGGATGTTATGGAGAAGAAAAATTTCCTCAGAGAATTCAAATAATAAGTAAATTTTTGTATTCCCATAGAACTCTCTGATGAGGGGAAAGTCTCCAAACACTATTAATAATGAGGCTTCCCCTCGACGCTTCTGAGATCTGACCTGTGTTCACACTTTGATACATCCCCAAAGGTATGCAGATCAGTCTTCACAGCCCAGGCCTCTTTCTCTTGTTACAAATAAAATTGTAAAATTTTAATTTACAATAAATAAAATATTCAGATAAGAAACAGAAATTCCTCCACATAAGAGGAAGGAAACATGATTTGCTGTAGCTTTTCCAGAATCCTGGTCTCTTGCTCAACTGAGAACTGAGGTGACTACAGATGGAAAGAGAAGAATATTTCAAAAAACTGACCTGCTCTTTACCCCCTGAATACACAGGGAACAGTATAATGTGCAGAAACATAGCTCTTTTCCTAAAACTACTAAATCAAAAGCACAGGAGTAGGAAACAGGAAAATGGGTATATTAAAAGTTTCCCATTGAGCTTTATATATATGTAAGCTCTGGAACAACTCCTGATGTATCATGAAGTGGGCAGGTCATCAGAGGAAAAGGTAGATTTATTAATCTCCTGATGCTGCATCCTGAAGCTTTCCATTTCTGAATCAACAAGGATTTCAGATCAGTCAAGCAAAACAGGGGCTCCCAGGAGGCACACAATGGAAAATGCAAAGATACATAAGGGCAGATCCCAATTTCTGGAGGGAAGTTATCCTCACCCAGGGAGACCAGGTTCCTGTAGGTCTCCAACATCACGTCCCTGTACAAGGCCCTCTGAGCAGGGTCCAGGCATTCCCATTCCTCCTGAGAGAATTCTATGGCCACATCCTTGAAGGTCAACTGTGCCTGAAATGAAAACACATTTCACCGAGGGGCCATGAGGAGAATTCTTATTTTCACACAAAACGAGAAGAGGTGAAAAGATGAACTTGAAGTATGTATTCTGACAGGTCCATATAAAGATATCTGGGGAAATTTTGGGTCTCTAATTTTAATTTCTTATGCTTTTTCATAGAGATTATGATAACCTGTAATCAATGTGTATTTTTCATTTTTGTGGACAATACATGAATTACATATAAATAAAATTCAACAACGAGTTCTCTATCTAGAAGTGTTAGATTATGTCTTACACACTGAGTGCTATTCAAAATCTAGATTAACTACACTATGAGTGGTGGCTTTAGAGATGACTAAGTCCACAGTGCTTTAAAAAAGAAAATCAAAATCTTAAATTACAATGACGATAATAACAGCAATGACTAAAGGTGTTTGAATACTTCACAGATGCTAAGCATTACTCTAAATGCTTTATAGATATGAACTTTCTTATCAACATTGTAGCTCAGTAGAGAAAGATCTGTTCCCATCCTGCAGAGGAGAAAACTGTCAGAGACATTTGGAGAAACTCAACTTAGTTCAAGCTAAGAAATGATACAGTAAGCACCTGAATTAAGGTGGATGCGGTCTTGAACTGAAGATAAAGAAGCAAAAACTGAAGTAACAGAAGAGCTTTGGAAGCACATTGCCAGAGGATTCTCCCAGAAAACTTGAAAGAAGTTGAACAACATGAAAGGCAGTAAAAGGTCATTATAGATGTAGGCACGCGCACGCACGCGCGCGCACACACACACACACACACACACACACACATACACACAACATGTTAGTAATCTTACTAGTATCTGAACCATTAACAGGATAGTGTAGGAAAAGTTCAAGGCCATGTAATATATTTATGATATAATTTCAACTGCAATAAAATACAGTACATAGTTATAAAATTATGATGTCTTTTATCAAAACCATGGACTTGCACATCCATGAACTCATGGACACACATGTAAATGCACAAATAACTGAAATGAGAGAAGTTGTCTCTGGATATATTATTGCATGATTTTTTTCATCATCATTTTTATTTATGTGTATTTCAGCATTTTTGGAACAATGAAAAAGTATCAACTATACTAAATGGTACTAACGTGAAAAAAATAGGATCCTTTAACTGCAATCTCTATTGAATACCCATATATAAATACAATTTAAACCACAATATTGACATAGGTAGGTATTAACAGATGCAAAGCAGAGTTTATTTCTGTATTCCACACATAAAACACTGACTCAAAATTAGAAGTTATTACTATTATACATTAATTTAAGAGATTAAGAAAAAAATTATCACAATAGTAAAGTTAAAAACTACTCAGAGAATTAAATATCATGACTAAAAAGAATATGGAAAAAAGTATATTGTGGGCTTCCCTGGTGGCGCAGTGGTTGAGAGTCTGCCTGCCGATGCAGGGGACATGGGGTTCATGCCCCGGAAAGGCTGGGCCCGTGAGCCATGGCCGCTAAGCCTGCACGTCCAGAGCCTGTGCTCCGCAACGGGAGAGGCCGCAACAGTGAGAGGCCTGCGTACCGCCAAAGAAAAAAAAAGTATATTGTAATTAAGGAAGAATATTTCACCAAACATCATGATTAGAAGGAAACTTGACGCATTCCCTCTGAAGTTACAGTAGAGTGAAGAGGGCTGGCCAGGGCTCCTGCCTTTCACCACTGTACAGTGTGCCTGAGCAGGAGCCATTAGAGGCAGTAACAGGAGGAAAACAGAGGGCAAGAGACACAAAGAGAGTGTGTCAGAGAGTTGGAACTGTGAACATTCACAAATCTAAGGACATAGAAATCTAAGAACAGAGAAAGGATGTGAAAAGATAGTCCATCCTAAAGAGAACAGGGGTGACTATATTACATCAGAAAAAATAAAGACCAAAACTGACACAAGAGACAAAGGATATTATATAATGATAAAACAGTCAATTCACCAGGAAGATATAACAATTATAAATATATATACATCTAACATTAGAGCATGCCCAAATATGAAGGAAACAACAGAAATAGACAACAGCAAAATGTGAGTATGAGACTTCAATACTCTAGTTTTATCTACACATGGAAACAACTTAAAAGGAAACAGAGAACTTGAACTACACTAAATAACAATTGTACCTAAAAGACATGTACAGAACACTCCACCCAACACCAAAAAACATCCTCCTCAAGAAAACATGAAACATTCTCCATAAAAGACCACAAAACACATCTTAGGCCACAAAACAAATCTTAACAAATTTAAGGAGACTGAGACCTAAAAAGTATCTTCTCTAACCACAATGAAATGAAACCTGAAATAACAAACAGAGGGAAAACAGGAAAACCCCCAAAATGTACAAATTAAACAGCTGATTCTTAAAGAAGCAATGGCCCAGGCTTCCCTGGTGGCTCAGTGGTTAAGAATCCGCCTGCCAATACAGGGGACACAGGTTTGAGCCCTGGTCCGTGAAGATCCCACATGCCACGGAGCAAATAAGCCTGTGCACCACAACTACAGAGCCCCAGCACCACAACTACTGAAGGCTGCGTGCCTAGAGCCCATGCTCCACAACAAGAGAAGTCACCGCAATGAGAAGCCCGCACACCGCAACAAAGAGTAGCCCCTGCTCACCACAACTAGAGAAAGCACACACGCAGCAATGAAGACCCAACACAGCCAAAAGTAAAATAAATAAATTTATTTTTTAAAAAAAGAAGCAATGGGTCAAAGAAGAAATCACAAGAAAATTGTAAAAATATCTGAATGAAAATAAAAACACAACATACCAAAAATTATAACAGGCAGTCAAAACCATAGTAAAAGGGAAGTCTACAATGCCAAATGCTTACAACAAAAAAGGGGAAAGATGCAAACCCTGTACTGCTCTTCAAGAATGTACTGAAAGTCCTGGCCAGAGCCATTAGACAAGAAAAAAGAAATCAAAGTTATACAAATTGAAAAAGAAGTAAAATTACCTTTTTCTCTAGGTGACAAGGTTTTACATGTGCAAACCAAAAAGGCTCCATGAGAAAACTACCACTTCAAAAAACAACTTCAAGGACTTCCCGGTTGGTCCAGTGGTAAAGAATCCACCTTCCAAGGCAGGGGACTTGGGTTCAATCCCTGGTCAGGGAACTAAGATCCCATATACCACAGGGCACCTAAGCCCGCGGACCTCAACGAGAGAGCCCGTGTGCCACAAACTACAGAGCCCACGCACTCTGGAACCCATGTGCCACAACTAGAGAGAGAGGAAAAAAAAAAACCCACACGCCACAACTAGAGAGAGAAGCCCATGCACCACAACGAAGAGCATGCGCCTCAACAAAAGACACTGCACGCCACAACAAAAGATGCCGCACACCTCAATGAAGATCCTGCACGCCTCAATGAAGATCCCGAGTGCCACAACACCTGACGCAGCCAAAAAACAAACAAACAAACAAACAAAACAAAAAAAAGGAAAAAACAACTTTGGAAAAATTGCAGCAGGGAATTCCCCAGCAGTCCAGTGGTTAAGACTCTGTGCTTTCACTGCCATGGCCCTGGGTTCAAAACCTGGTGGGGGAACTAAGATCCCACAGACTGCAAGGCATGGCCAGAAAGGAAAAAAAAAATCAGCACACAAAAATCAATTGCCTTGGTATACACAATGAACAAATTCCAAAGAAAGAAAACAATATTGTTTACTATAGCATCAAGAGACAGACTAGGAAAAAATTACCCAAGGAGGTGAAAGACTTGCACACTGAAAACTACTAAATGTTGCTAAAAGAAATCCAAGGATATACAAATAAATAAAAAGACACCCTGTACTCATGAATTGGAAGAATTAATATTCTTAAAATGACTTTATTACTGAAAGTGTTCTACAGATTCAATGGAATCCCTGTCAAAATTTCAAAGGCAATTTTTGCAGTTAAAAAAAAAATCATACTAAAATTCATAGGGAATCTCAAGGGACCCCCCAACAGCCAAAATACTCTTGAAAAAGAAGATGGACATCATTTTCAGATTTCAAAACATATTACAAAGTAATCAAGATGATGTGGTACTGGTATAAGCACAGATACATAACCCAGTGGATACCAGAAATAATCCAGTGAATATATATAAAATGTACAGACAAGGGTGCAAAGACTACACAAAGGGGAAAGGACAGTCTCAATAACAAATGATGCTGAGCAACTATATATATACCAGCAAAAGAATGAAGATGGAACCTTACTTGCATCAAAGGTAAAAACTTCTGTATCACAGGATACAATCCACAGAGTGAACAGACAACTTCTGAGGAATGCAGGTGATGAAAGTGATTTAAAGAATTTCCCACTGTCAGAGATTTAGGTTGATTTCATAGTTCAAACCCAAGAATGGAATAAAACATTCCCTGGTGATCCAATGGTTAGTGCTTGGCACGTTCACTGCAGTGGGCCCAGGTTCAATCCCTGGTCGGGGAACTAAGTTCCCACAAGCCTCTGTGGGGCATGGCAAAATAAAAAAAAGTTAAAAAGACAGAACAAATTACCTCTTACTGGTCTGTTTTCCAGATTTTACCAGATACTGTGCACATTAATGTCCAGCTTCTTTATCCTGCTTGACAGAGAGCAGACAGTGCATTCTGATGGGGCCTTAAGCAATGCCTGCTGTCCAGTAGCACTGACACCATGTCTCCAATCCATGGGTGTGAAGCCCTGCCCAGGACTACACCCTGCGGAGCCTCTTCCCAAGTTCCAGGTCACTGGGTCATGGGGAAATGGGATCTAAGTGGAGATGACAGGCCCTGAGGGAAGGACCTGGGTGAGTGTGACTGTACAGGTGTCAGGCAGGATACTTCAGAGTCAGAGATTAGCGAGTCCAAAGAGGGCATTTCAGGAAGGACAGACAGAAGAAACAACTGAGAATATGACTTTACCTGAGAAAGAGCCATTTCTGACTCCTTTTCTTTCCTCTCCCTCCTCTTCTGGGCTTCTTTCTCAGACAAGAGTCTTTAGAGGTCGATCCTGAAAGTGGAAAACAGGCTGTTTAATGCTTAGAATCAACACACCCCCTTCCTGAGTCACCACCACACACACAGGGAAGCCCTCAGCATGTGGAACAGACGGTCCTCTGCTGCCCACTGTCCCAGGAGGGGCTCAGGACAGTAACTCCCACATAGAGACCAACATATGAGTTTTCCCACCCTTTCCTTCAGTTCAGGCTCCCCTCCTGGTGAGGCCCTCACGTACGCAGCAGCAGCAGCGGGCACCTCAGCTGGACCCGACGATCCCCTGCAGGTCATAGACCAGCCCTGATCCATCCCCACGCAGAGTAGAGCCCTCACCCTCAGCCCAGATCTCAGCCCTCAGGAATGGGGGGACCCAGAGTCACGATGCTCAGTGAGGGATCCGGATTGGAACATCCTGGGGCACCTCAAATATTGTTGAGGTTGGACCCGCACACTGACAGTATGAAGAGGAATCCCTGGTCAGAGGGTTCAGAACACGTCTGTACGAAATTCTTCATCGATCTAAGGAAACGCCTGTGTTGAGCAGCACCCACAGGAGGCAAGCCCAGCACAGCCCCCACTTGCTTTTCATTTTCCAGCTTTACTGAAGCCTAACAGATGTATTACAATGGTGTACATATGAGGCATCCATTGTGCTTATTAGACAGATGTATACACTGTGTAGTATTCACAATAGAGTGCTTTACACGTCCATCAACTCACAACGACCATTTTATTTCTGTGTGCTAAGAACAGTCAAGTGTTACTCTCTCAGCAAATACCAGGTAAATAGAAACACAGTATGATTAACGATAGCACGATGAACATTAGATGAACATGTTGCAAATATTTACCTAAATATAATGATTTCATTTCCTTTGGCTATCTAGACAGAGGAACCTCTAAATTGTTTTCCATAATAGCCATACCATTTACATTCCCACCAATGAAGCACAAGCGTTCCCTATTGTGTGTGTGTGTGTGTGTGTGTGTGTGTGTGTGTGTGTGTGTGTGTGTGTGTGTGTGTTTACCTCCACAGGTAGGGAGAGGACCGCAGAGGAACCAGCATTGGCCTGGCAGCAAGAAAGTAGCGGCTACACCTTCCCAAGAATGTGCCTCTGTATTACTGATCACTGTGGTGTTGCTGGCCCTCTGATTCTTGGAACAATCTCTCCCTACATTAAAGAACTTAATGGCCCCTCTCAGGTTCTGTCCACAGAAACATACCTAGCAAAATTTCCCTAATGAAAACCTTCTGCCATTTGAAGCTTACTACTCATAATTTCCCTTCTGGACTCAAATGAACTTACAAACTTTCATGGGGTCCAACATAGTCTCAATAAAACCCATAATGATCAACTCATCGTGCTAGAAAATACCAGAAAACATGCCAAACTCTAATAAATCATGCCAGAGGGAAAAATACATATAAGACACCCAAGGAACCAGTCGATGCAAAATACCATATTTTCATTCACAGTAACCACAGCCCAAACACTGTCATCTTCAAAAACTACACATAAAAGAAAGATGTTTCCAACGATGCACATCCCCCAGTGAGACCCAAACATCCCCCAAGGCAACACTCCAATTCCCCTTTCGTTATGTTTCACAGTGCAACTGAAAATTTCTTTATCTGCAACACAAAATACTAAAACGTACCAAAGGTAAACAACAAAATGACCTCCATATTAGTCTAAAAACTGCACAATGATTCCTCTCTTTCTCTCTCTTTTTTTTCTGGAGCAGGAAGGATTTATTACTTGCAGCAAGTAAAGAGAACACCAGAGATCTTTCCCAAAGCAGTATCCCTGCACGATGATTCTTGACCTCCCAGAATACCCAACACAAGTCACTTGCGGAGTGGATGCTGTAGGGCACCCTCTAGCTCCGTTGCCTGAGGACAAGGCACCCATCCTCCTTCACCCAAGAATCCCTGTGGGCTCAGCTCAGCCCATACTTCTAACATCGGAGGAAAATGATTTTCTGTGCCTAAAACCACTGCCTTCATTCCTCCTCATGTATGGCCATGAAATACCAGATTAAACCAATGAATGGAAACCTCAGTCTCAGCAGCTAGGTCCCAGGGAACCTGAGCTAAGACACTATGGCACCTCAAACCATGCAATGCACCCCACAACTACCCATAAACCCAATTCCAGGTGCTCCAGCCAGAACTGAGACATTACTTGCCAGGAGTTCCACACACCCCTTGAGCGCAAAAGGGACAAATGCACGCACCATTCATTGGGCTCACCTTGAAGCCCACACTGGCTGCCACATCCCTCCTGAAGACCCCTACAGGCTCCCCTCCAGCTTCCCAACTGTCCTGCCTCTCCTCCATGCACTCATGGGCAAACAGGGCTAAAGGACAAAAGGACCTCTCAGCAAAGCCATCGCAACAGGAATACACGCAAGCTGCCACCCAAAGGACACTGGCCAATCAATATGCAGGTCAGCAAAGTTGGCCCTCCTGGGAAAACTTACGAGAAAGTAAGAATGTTACGGAATCCAGTTACAAAGGACATTTGAATCCAGTGAGGGAGACGCAAAGACAGGCGGTCCCAGATTTCTTGTCCCCAAGACAGATGGTCCCCAAGTTTCTTCTCTCCTGTTCTGCCAGCTCACAGGTAATTAAAAAGTACCCTAACTCTTTGAGGGAAGTCTCCTTCATTCCTCCTTAGGTTCTGGACTTTGGCCCACAGTTACCACAGTGAAATCACTACCCCTGACTCGGAGCAGATGAACTGCTGGAAGGCAAAGCTCCTGTCCAAGGAGGCAACTGGTCCCTGGATGTGCACAGCCTGGAACACCTGGGGGCTATAGTGGAGCAGTGACACAGCACACTAAACATGGGGACACCTCAACATACTACATGAGGACATCAGTTCTGTAGGACTTTTTTTAGCACTCCCTGCATCTTTTTGCTCTTATTTTGAGTAATTAAGCAGCCATATAGGCTAATAATTAGCGCTGAGATGTCCAGAACAAATGTAGGAACCATCCTCATCACCTACCCTGTTCCCCTGGTCTCTCCTGAGGATTATTCAGCCCAACCCACAGTCCCAGCCACCAAACACATCCTCAGAGGGAGATGCCGCAGCTACCCAGGGAAGAGGAGCACTGTGCACCCTTCAATGGACGGAAAAGGAGGAAAACTCCACATAATCAATGGAGAGGAGCATTTCTGTTGAAGGTGATTGATACAGAGGTAATAAAATGTGACACAGATAGTCAGGAGGAGATGGCGAGCCTCCTCAGGTCTCTGAGCCTAGACCTGAAGGGAGACAAAGGGCCTGTGCTATGGTGACTTCAAGGCAAAAGGTAAGAACAGGAACTATGATGTCAGACAGAAATAGTTTTTGTTTTGAAACAGACAAAAGGTGAAAGTGCCCAGGGCAGAGTGAACCATGAGAACAGGGTCAGCTCCCAGGATGAGGCTGGGGACACTGGCAGGGCCCTGAGGATGACACAGGGCTGAGCAGACACAGGGAGGACTCGGGATTTGTCCTGAGGACAAACAAGAGCCAGTGCAGGTCTGAGGGCCAGAACTGGCATAAACTCTCCTCAGGTTTATACTTAATGCAGAGAAATATTTCTGACTACGGTCACTTCTACTCCGAGCCTGTGGGAAAACAGGAACCCATATACAATTCTAAATAAAACTAGACACTCTCTCCAAAAGGAAGACACACACAGACACACACCCAATTTGGCCAATCACTTCAAGGTCAGTGTTACTCTGACAGAGTTTCTGGTCTAGTCTCTCATCTCCATGTTACAAGTGGGCATCCTGAGGCCCAGAAGGGAGACTTTTCTGAGAAAGTCCTGGTTGAGTGAACAGAATCAGGTGTAACTGAATTCTGAAATGAGATCCTGAGGAGTCGGTGGGCAGAGTCTGTCCTTATCGCCTGTCCCATTTAAAACACCATCTTTCAGGTGCCTGATCAAAGGAAACTTCTCTTTCAAGGTCTGATCACACTGTCACCAAACAGGTAATTCTTCTTTTCCAGAAAAATCACAGTAAAATAATTAAAAAATAAACAATTGCAAAAGCATAGCTGTTGGTGCATAAAACATTGCAAGCGTTCAGCTTAGAAACAAGATCTGAGCAAACTTCTTTATAATGAATAGAGGAATAAAAGGGGAAAAAGAATATTAGACTAACTGGTTAAACTAGGTTTTGACTGTTAATATAAAAGATCACTGACATATCTACCAAGTACTCATCAAAAGAGTCTAAAATTATTTACTAGTTACCAAAGAACTTTACCAGTATATAAAGATAAAGCAGGGGAAGAACTCAGGTGTCAATTATTGAATCAATAAAAAGAAATAATTTGTGAATTTTTTAAATCTAAAGATCCTGCTGTCAATGTTTTTTAAAAAATGAGGATTGGGGCTTCCCTGGTGGTGCAGTGGTTAAGAATCCACCTGCCAATGCAGGGGACATGGGTTCAAGCCCTGGTCTGGGAGGATCCCACGTGCCGCAGAGCAACTAAGCCCGTGTGCCACAACTACTGAGCCTGCGCTCTAGAGCCCATGAGCCACAACTACTGAGCCCATATGCCACAACTAATGAAGCCCGTGTGCCTTGAGCCTGTGCTCCGCAACAAGGGAAGCCACCGCAATGAGAAGCCCGCACACCGCAACGAAGAGTAGTCCCGCACACCGCAACGAAGAGTAGTCCCTGCTTGCCCCAACTACAGAGGGCCCACGCACAGCAGCGAAGACCCAATGCAGCCAAAAACAAATAAATAACAAAAAAAATTGAGGATTTATCATATTTAGAAAAGAATCACATGAGTAGAATACATAAGGCCACCAAACTTATTTCACAAGTTAGTAATTATTTGCAGGAAATTAGATATCTAGTGCACTAGGATATATGCAAAGTTAAAAGAAAGACATAAATGTAAAGAAACCAGAGAGAAAAAAGTAAGTCCATTACAGAAAAACAAAATTTTTAA